AAACCACCTGGATATGCAGAAGGAGTCTGCACAGTGGGATACAGCTCTACAAATTTGAATTTGTGTGAGAGTGGGTTCAGTTTGCTTCATGAAAATTTCTGGTGTCCATTACTATAAATAGTCGGGACTTCAGAGTTACAGACATTAACTGGAGAAACATCAGCTGGCAATTTACAGTGTACTGTGGTGACAACTCTGAATGTACAGTGAACGAACTGGGTGGAGGCAGTTATGGGGAGCAAACCAACTTTAAGGTAGGCCTTTTTCTTACATATAGACCTTTTCCTTACGTGGTTGATCTGATGTGTATTGTGAGATGCTGCTTCTAGACTCTAGGGAGATAATGATGATCAGGAATGCAGTGGTTTCAAAACCTGTGTGACTGTTTGGTATGGACAGGGGCACAAATTCATGTAGAGTAAACGTTGTTCAGAAAACTGGATACTTGAGGAAAAAAAGAAAGAGTAACTTCCATAGGCTAATGTCACAGATACAAGTTTTACTTTCTAAGTCTTGGTGGTTTTATAAACATGGAGATGACTCATGTTGTTAGAATAGATAAAAGATAAAACAATGTCTTACAGAAATATTAAATGTAAAATAGTCCATACATTTTAATTATATTTGATTAGACAATTAATTATATAAAATATTCCACTTTTTTTTACTTCTTGAGAAATTCAGTAAGTCTTATCCATATTCATTCCAGCTACATCACTGTCTTTTTTTGTGCACAGTATAGAATGTGTCTTTATCTTTAGCTAGAGCAACCTCTAAGTTCACATTTTTGTCATTTATTTTATTAATATATATCACTTTCTTGCCATTTGATTAACTCATCTTAATTTCAGTTTGTTTAATTTCTGCATTCACTTCTTTCGAGTGGACAAGTCTGTCTCTTACATTAACCCTACACAGATTTTAATTTTTGGTTTTATTAGAACTTTTATTATCTAGGATTAGTATCAGCTTCTGCTGTTTGCTATCAGGAATTGCTGCAGAGAGCACCTGGAGCAGTCAACAGTGAAACAAGGTGACTTGAATTTATGCCCTCTCCTGAGGTGCCTTCATGTGGTATCACTAGGGTGAAGGAACACTCTTCTTGTTTAACAAGACCTTGAAATTCATTTTAAAAAGTGCAGAAGCCTAGCTCAAAGCTGCATTCAGGAGGTCACCAGTCATTTCTGTGACTGCTGCTGTGCCAGCAGCAACATGGCCCCCTTCCTCCTTGTCCATTACATCCCTGTCTCCACAAGGTCAACAGGATCTGGTCCTGATTCCTGTTGTGGGCTATTTACCTCAGTATTTATACAACATGTCAGTGGGTTTGGCACTGAAGGTCAGCTTGTCCAATGTATCCTGCATGAGGTGGGCTCCTCTTTCCAGCATTCATCCTTTTCTGTTTAGTAGTTCAATACAGAGCCTTTAGTCAGTCTGGATGATACAGAGAGAGGCATAGTGCAGTATGCCATTCAGTGTATACAATTATAATGGCCAAGTTTCAGGTGATTTGTACCTACTGCACATGTACCTACTGCACAAATGCTTTCCCATTTTCATTTCCCTCATTTTCTTTCCATGTGCTGTCAAAGTTTCTCTTCCCTTCTCACAAATCCTTTAGCTCCACTGTATATATCACTCTTGCAGTGATTCCAAAACCTGCTATGCAGTTCACTTGTTTGCAATATACCACAGTTGTTTCTAATGCAAGTAGCTTCACACTCCTTTTAAATCCATGTCATTTTTCTCTTACCTTGAAAATTCATAGGTGAGATTATCTCTTTCCTGCCTCTCCATTTAAATTGCAAGCAGTTATAAAATTCTTTGCTGGCTACAATTTGAGCTACTGCTACACTTCTTTTAGTGCACTTTTTTAATTTGTTTCTGAGCTGTCTTTTCACATTAAGCATTTGCCTGCCTTTTTCTCAGTCTATCTTTTTTTGCAAAACAATTTTCTTGGCCTTTTTTTTTTTCTTTTTGGTACTCTCACTAAATCAAACTCGTTTTCTGTCTCAGCTCAGCAGTCTTTGACCGCTTGGGACATTTTTGGATCAACTAACTTTTACTTCCAATATTGTTCTTTTAGGTATCGTCAGTGAGTCTGTGCAGTAGTTCTCATGTGGAAGGTTTTTACAACTATTTTTTAAGTTTAGCAACCTTCCAGCTTCCCTGATGTTTGGGGAGTCTTTGTCCTTCTAAGTTTTAGACTATAAGCATTTTACAGCTTCCCACTGTAATTACTCACATAATATTATGCTACTGTAGCTCAGGTCTGATTATTTAAGCACCTGAGTTGGACATTTCATGGAAAAATTACTTCTACAAACATAGTTTGACATTTCTACACAGAAGCCATTAAATAAGAGATTAATTCCTTTCCTTTGGACTCAGTGCAGTTCGTTTATCTATGTAAGTGATCCTATTAACTACATAAAGACTTTTTATATAAATCATGATTGCAAGACTGAACTCATCTTCATATTTTGGAGATAATTTAAGACCTGTTCAGCAGTAGCTGCTTGTGGCATGGAGTGCAATACTGTGCCAACCAGTCACTTTAACACAGCTTATTATTCATCCCATTCCAATGAAAACCAAAGGGCCATCCTGGTTTTCCTCTCCATCGCTATTCCTACAAAACAACAAATGTCAGATCATCTTGTGGAATATGAATTAAGGGGGCAATTACATTCAATTTCTTCTTTTTTTTTTTTTATTAAGGAAGTGGAAAAACTATGAGTTTGCTACTGTCCCAGTCATTGGGTAGTTTTGTTAGTTGTAATAAATGTTTTGAACTTTCACATCTGATTAACAAGGGGTTTCTTTATTCATTATTTATCACTGGAAAGATCTGTAGATTCAAATATAATTTGTAAGTGTTTGCCAATTATTTTGCAATTTTAAGTCTGATTTCTTTTATCTTCCATCTGATTCACCTGCATGGATTACCTTTTTTATAGGCCATTCACTACGTTAAGAGAAATGCTCAGGAAAAATATTGTATCTGTGAGAATTAGAGTAATCCTACATTTTCCCAGGGATTTCTGGGACTACATTTCTTCTGCCAGTAGCAATTTAGTTATAAGCATTCTCCATGCAAGTCCATCTTTATAAAAGTACATTGTGTTTTGATTATTTAAAACCTGAAGTCACAAAGGACATTGTTGTAATTAGATTTACTTTGGTAGAAATTGAAAATGTATTGTAGTAGTCAGAATCCCCAGGGGAAGGTTTCTAATAAAATCTCCATTGAATGTATTCATATATGGAAATACAGTCAATATTTGAGATATGAAATGTCAGTAAAAGTAAAAAAGTATTAGCATTCAGTGTATGTGACAAACTGGCAAAGCCTTGCCAGTCTGAATATTTTTTTCACAAAGCTTTGTTTCACAAAGCTTCTATGTGCTTTTAAAAATATAATCTCTTAAGGAAAATGCAATTAGTCTGTTAGAGCTCCCTAGTCCTGAAAATGGGAAGTATAATTTTTTTTTTATTTTTTTTAAACTACCTCATAGAAGTGAAAGGAAGAATATCCATGATGTTTCTCTTTACTGTGAATGCAAATGAGAGGATCATTTTCTATCATTCAGGCATGAGGATTCACTGGTCTCCTAACGGTAGCAGAGACTACTCAGCTGTCTGCTTGCTGTTTTATTGTCTCCACTGGCTTGGATAAAAGACAGCAACATAAAAAAGTGTTCAGGCAGAGATAATATGGCAGAATGTTCCATTAACGTGATGTCCTCTTAACAAACTTGTAACTTATGCATGGATTCCTGAAATACCTACGAGTGCTGAGTTCAGTGCCAAATCTTAAATCAGTGGCAAAGGGGGAAGTTTTTATTTTCCAGTCAGGTCTTCAGGGATGATACCATCTGCTTTCATAGCCCCATGATGGAATAATTTTCCCTTGGGACTTCAGTGTTAGAGGGCACATGGCATAGGATCCAGTTTCATGTCTATTCTCTGGTAAGGAAGCATTGCCTGGAAGCCATCCAGGTCTCCATGTACTGTCTTTTCTCCCTCTGATCAGCCATCAGCATGAATGTGTTCCTTCTAGCCTCTTGCTCTAAAACTCGTAAGGCTGCATTGATTGAATTGCATAGTTGGCTTGGACTCTCTTCAGCCTGCTGTTTCCCTCCTGTTCAGTGTAGATTCCTTTGTATTCCCTTCCTACCGCAATTTCAAGAAATCAGTGAGCAACATTTGAATCCCGAGAGCTATTGGTGTATTTACTGCATTAGAAACATGAGTTTATTGGTAATGAAAAAAAAAGAGAAAATGCTTATTTTCCTGTACAAAATTCCTGCTTATAAATTTACAGTGCACTTTTCATCAATATTTTCTAACACTAACTTTAAATATCTCATTTGTTTTCTATATTGTCTGTGAAAGACTGAGTTAAAGTAAATTCCACGTGTTTATTCATGGAATAAATGGAAACATGGGAAACATAGCAAATTATTTGCCTATAAGTTAAATTACCACTGTGAGACACACATGAGGAGTTTTAAATGCTTAGAAAAGCAGATGTTTAACTCCCAACTGCTGCTCTGTAGCCATGTTCTGTCACGTTTCTGCCTTTCTCTCACCAGCACCTATGAGACTGAAATGAATTGAAAACTTTTGCTACCCTTCAGATGCAAGTTACTTCTCATGGAGTACTGAGATCATTACGTATTTTGGCAGGTTTCCAGAGTCCCTTTCTTTCTCTGCTACATGGGTTTATTTAGTAATGAACAGAACTTTTTTTTTTTTTTAAATACAAGGAGTTTGTGCATGACTGTCTATCATGCTCAAGATCTATCATATTGCCTATTTCTCATCTAGAGACCATTCTGGGGTGAATAGAGATAAATGTTGTTTGGTTACACTGCTGTTTGTCTATGCCTGCCATAGCTCCACAGTTCAAAAAACTTTCACTCACACACAGAGGCACATACACACGTGGTCCAAACATCATCATTATTGCTTGTGTTGCTTTATTCATCCTTCAGGTCTCCTGTAATGGCTGGAGGTCTATTTGCTGTTAATCGGAAATGGTTCTGGGAGCTGGGAGGCTATGATCCAGGATTAGAAATATGGGGAGGAGAGCAGTATGAAATCTCCTTTAAGGTAAGTCATCAAGTCACCTTACAGAATACTTCATTTCTGATGTTATAATGATGCTTTTATTCATACTGGCTTTGTCTTTTAACTAAAATTAATTTAATACAATTCTTTTTTTTGTTAGAAACTCCCAATAGTTTCACAAAGAATTATGCCATAAACGTGTGCTCCAGAAGCCATACAAAAATCACACTGAGTGCAAAACTTGATATTTGCCTCCAAAAATGTGGTAGTTTGCCACCATCAAAGTCCTACCTTGTTCCTTTCATCAAGTCTTCTCCACTTACCTTCTCTCAGGTGCTGTGTTTACTTTATACTCAAGCATTGAGCATAAATAAGCCAAGAGAGAACTATTACAGCAAAAAAGAAAAGGACATAATTTTCTGCCCAAATCAACAAGTTTAATCATCTCTGGGGATAGGGTCCCATGGAGTCAGCTCAGGGAAATGTATGGAAATGGAAAGCGAAAGTCATAGGAAGAAAGACCCCTTTCAGTAGCAGTGGATCACTAGAGCAGCTCAGCTACTGTGAGCTGTTAGCTGCAGGCCAACTGTTCAAGAGCAGATATTTTTAATTGCATTTAAATTATTATAATGACACATGGGGAATTGTCAAGTGCTCAGGTTAAGTACAACAAGCCATAGTATACCCTCATATCCTCTATGTAGACATGGGTATTCAAATCAGTTACATCTCAAAAGTCTTGTTACTTTCTGCATGTAAAACAGGCATTTGTATTAGTTTGATGAGGACTAACATGTCTAGTTTTGAAAACTGAGTTAATTTTGTTCCAGTATACCCAAAGACAAAAACACTTTGCCTCACAGTCTCTACATGCAAAGTTTTCCAATGATTTGATAGAATTTCATGACATAGATGAACTGAGTCAAACGTGTTTGAATATAGCTTGGAACTGAAATTAGAATTCAAATTTACCTTCAGGTACTTCCAGATTCTGTCAGTTTAAAGCTCTGTAAATAAATTCAGTGTGTCAGCCGTGACACTAATATCATAGTGAGTTTCAACAGCAATTAAAACAACAGTGCTGAGGCAAACCATAAGTGTGAGCCAACACTGGGCTTCCAGGCTGCCTTTACAGGAGTTACCAAGAACAGCAAAATGTTTTGCATTAACTGGCTTACTCTCATATTTCTCCAAATCATTTTTATACCTCAGCAAAATAAAACAAGAAGGCAGGGAAAACCCAATAGCTAGACCATATATTTAGAATATATTGATTTACCTTCTGTCTGTTTAGATTGTTTCAGAGGCAAATGTAAGTAGTTACCTGTAGCTGTCATAATGGTCTCTGAACCCATGATTTTATTATCCTATTTCAAATACTCCTTTTATTTATCATCACAAAGAATATACGTGTAGTGCTCTCTAGACTTTGTATAGAAACCATGGTAACACAACTGGAAATTGAGATACCAGATTGTCCCAGTGTGTTTTGTTCAACTGACAAATTTTTTTTGGAGGCAGCTGTGTCACATTTGGTCTCATTTCAGTCATATCTCTGGATCCATCTCATCAATATAAAAATGACATTAGGACCCCGTCCTTTCTTACTAGTGTTAAAAGAAAAAAAAATAGTCTTTAATGATGATTGCCAAATAGGAGTAGCTTCCCATTGGAAAAATTTAATAGATGTAAGTTTTAAAAAGACTGCTGTTTTTCTCCTAAAAAAAAAGGAGAAAAATCATGGAGGTGGAAGGGAGAAACAGAAAGGACTGGGGTTTATTATGTCAGAATCACCACTGTCACCTTGGGAAAGGTTTCTGCTTCAACAGTTTTTACTGTAGCTATAGATTCAGTCATCTTAAAACTTATTTAACTGAGGACAAGTTAGCTAGACAGTTCAATTTACCAGATTTATTCGCAAAACTTGGTAAGGTGGTGGACTTGCAAACTGTTACAAAGTCAGTGAAAAAGCCAAAGAACCATACTGGTTCAATTTTTGTGGCTACTTGAGTGAATCTGAAACTACAATTTACTTTTTCTTAGAGTGTTACATCTATGGCCTGTGGAATTGTTGTAGGATGAGTGCCATGTGTCAATGCCACGTCTTACATTAATTTGCCTGGCAAATAATTATTTCGAGTATCCTGCCACAAGAACATCTGTAACCACCAGATAGTTAGCTATTTTCACACATTTCTTCTTTGATTCAACTAATTCTTAAGTATTTTGTAAAAATATGATTGGTTTTCATTAAGAAATTGCAAAGAGAAGCTGATTCAAAATGTCCCACAATTGCGTGAAGTTTGCATATAGAGGACTGTTTCAGACTGGTCTTTAATCTCAGAGATAGACACAGTGTTCCTTTTACATTCTTCATATGTCTTGTTTTTAACTTTGAGATTCATTTGCACAAGAGCTGCATTATAAGAGTAAATCAGTAAACAGTATATCTGCTATAAATGGAGACTGTGCTGATGACATGACCTTCCTCATGTCAGATGGAAGATTGTTGTGTTTAATTCAAATACAGTGATGCAGTTATGGAGGAATGAATGTCAGAGCAAAAGCTCTGTGCTTCCTGAAATGAAGTAGTGTGTGATTCATCTTGAACTCATTGCTCTGCTCTGTGAGCTGGAGTGAGGAGTGTTTGCAAACCATTTCCCAGCCTCAGTGATGCATTTTAAATTCTGTGGATTGATGTACAACTGTAACCATTCTGTTTAACATTTTAACATTATGTCCAGGTACTATAGAATCCAGGTAGGCTGTGGCATGTTGTTAATTAGCACTGCCAATGTTTTGCTGCAAAGGAAGGCTTTCAGGTATATTCAGGAAGGTTTTTCACAAGTGTGTGTGTCAAGTATCAAATATCAAGTTTATATGTTCAAATTCAGTGGTGGCAGACATAGAATAAGTTATTTGGAGAATTGCCCAACCAAATGTTGGAATGAACTTGACTCCACAGAAACATTCACACATTATGCAGGAAAAAGATCACTTAACAATCAAGATCCTCTTAAAGAAAAGCATCTTCTCAAACAAGAGCCTCTGCATTTCTATACCAGAGACATTCACAGTCATCCCCACGAGTCAAGTTACAGGAGTGTTTGCTACAAAGCAAATGAGACACCATGAATGCAAAGTGTGGCCCATCATGGGGGGAGTGGAAGGCTTTTTGGCAAAGTTTATTAAAGAAGCCCTGCCATTGAGTCATGAGGATTCCCTTGCTTTCTAAACTCCTTCTCAGAGAGGAGCCTGGGTGCAGCTGGATCCAGTCTTAGCCTCAGTTTTATCAACAGTTTAAATTTAAGGAATTATACATGTGCAAGCTCAAAGGAATTACTAATAGTAGCCATATTACTTTACGAGTTCAACATGCTAAGACAGAGTTCAAGGACCAATTAAAAATTAGATTAGTAGGACAAGTGGAGGTTGAACCAGACTGAGGAAAGGTACTCAGGGCTGGGAAGCTTGGAGGGAAAGTATCCATTTTGATTTTTGTCTCCAGCTGTTTCACTAGGTATGACCTGATGTGACAGATGCCAAACTTCTTTTTATGGGGGGGAGGTTGCATTATCTCATTGTACATTCAATAACTTCCTCCAAAATACAGTAAGTACATTCAATAACTTCCTCCAAAATACATATTGTAATGTTTCCGTGACGTTTGGAATTGTGCCACAGCAGAAAAAGGAGCTTCCTCAAACTTCAGGCATGTCTATTCCAGGTGCTGAGTGGTCAGGAACACACAGAGGCAGGTAAAAAAAAGAGTTGCTGCTTAAAAATTTGCTTGACCTTTATTTCCACACTACAAAACCAAACATATTTCTCTTTTGTTCTCTTCTTGCTTGCAAACATCACTGCAGAGGACAGCAGCAAGCATAGCATAGGGTGCCATTCTGATTAACTCATGTTTCCAAATCAGAGCACACACATACACATTCAGTGGATGGTTTCACAGTCACAAACCATGTGTTTATTAAATTTGCATTAATTTTTATTAATAGTTTATTAAATAGTCTTTATTAAATAGTTTCTTAGATTAATTGTTACATAGGAAAATGTGCAGGATTTTATTTTTTTGGCAGCATCAGAATCATTTTTTTTCTTAATTAAAAAGACGTATGACATCTTGCTGACGATACGTGTGCTGGACTTGTGAAAGCTGGCACAACACTGGAACTCACCTGATTAATAACATCTCTTCTCAATAACAAGGGAATAATAATTTCTTAGACAGATGCAGCTTATGTAGTAATCACTAAAACATAGAGTAGTGAAAGATACTAACTTCCTGTGTTTCTTGAAGTTCCTTGTGGTGGGTTGACCTTGGCTGTATGCCAGGTATGCAGCAAAGCTGCTCTGTCAGTCCTCTCCTCACCTGGACAGGGGAGAGAAAATATAACAAAAGGCTCATCAGTGAAGGTAAGGGCAGGGAGAGATCACTCACCTGCCACAGTCTGGTGGGTGGGGGAGTAGGACCACAACACTGCACAGAGGAGTCCGACAAGATGGAAGGTCGGGGTGCAATGGCCGTTTATTGAGGTAGAGCAGGGACTTATGTTGGGTCTGGTTCAGGGGGGCTTGGTAACAGGGGAGGAACAAGAGATTGGCATCTCAGGGTAAAACAGGATAGGGGAACACAGGAAAGGAGGAAGAACTTGGGAGGAGTTGGACATTAGGAACTGCAGTACTTCTCAGCTAATCAATGCAGGATTAGCGGGAAAGTGAGAGGATAAACAGCTTTTGGTGGGAAGACAGCTCTGGGCAAGCCCGGGCAAGTCCATACAAACAAATGGAATTAATACAACCAAGTGGGGAAAGTACATCAAACGGTGCCTAAAACCAGGTATAAACGAGCAAGTCCATGAAATGGAGTCCCTTCGTGTGCCATAAATGTCCCTCCATGCTTTAAAGCATTCCCATTCGGACACAGGCTCCTCAGCACTCACCAGTTACTATCATGGGCAAAATTGACTTGACTTGGGGAAAAATTAATTTATTACCAATCAAATCAGAGTAGTGCAATGAGAAATAAACCC